AATGTCGTATTTGAACATTTAAAACTAAACGTCCACTTGAGATAATTATTACATTAGGACGATATATTGACTCCAGTCCATATTAAATCAACTTCCTCATAATATCCCATCACGGGTATAGTTTGTGCCAAGAAGTTTTCAAAATCCCGAACTACATTGTAGAGATTCACAAGTAACGCAGTCAGATTGGCTTCATCAACATCTAGCGTTTGTGGAGAAAGCTAGGAAAATATCTCTTGTTTTACAAAGTTCATTGCTCCCAACTAGTTTCATTAGTTTGTCAACGAAAGGCAGGTTATTAATTTAAAAGACACAATAGTCCAGACTAAAAGGCAAATATAGACGAGGAAAATAAGTAATCGTATCATAAGGCATCTTGTTTTCAAAAATGATTAATTTTTACTTGGGTTCAGGTCATTTAAGTAAGTTCTATTAATTTCATGCAGTCATGTGTATCTTGTCGGCACTGAAAAATATCAAAAAATCTATATCCATGAACATCGAGCTTGTTTGTTTTAAGCATCTAAATTACTATTCAAAAACACATTTTCATCCCGGTTTTTTGGGTCAAATTTAAAATGAATATTGACCTTTGGTACGTTGTTGCTTCAATGTAAATAACATCACCTCAGATATTGACTTAACCTTGAGATATTTGTTATTGGTAGTAGAAAGACGGTACAGTATATGAGCTGTTTAACAGAACCATAATCTGATCGCCATAATAGAAAGCAGTATCGAGTACCTGGGCTTTACCTACATGTTTGTATAATATAGTATATGTTATATAAATAGCTTACTTGTCGATTCTACCTATATGATTAACGAGTTTCTGGGGTGAAGAGTTTAAAATCTGTGAAAGAAGACATTAAGGGATTAGTTTACACCAGTGGTGCAGCTGCTTTCTTTTTCTTACTATGGCATGTCGTATTTACATATAGTAATGAAAACCCCATTCTGTAAGCCGTTCGTGTTTTTCTTTTAAAAATCTATATATACCGTTTTTTTGAAACGTAAAACAGAATCATGCTATACCGCGATTTAATCTTTGGTGCATCTTGACAATCTATTGCATATTCTAATGTCAGCAGTGATCGGCAAAATTGATCAAATTAGGGTTACAAGAAATTGAATACCAAAGGAATACCACTAACTGATAATGGAAAATAAAAAATAAGTCTACTATTTTATATAATAATGATTTTCCGGCGTGATTTCCCTTTGTCAGTGATGCAGGACGGAGGGCCTACCAAGGGCAGTTGTCTAGTCGTTCGAATGGGACGAAATACCGAGGTCCCGTGTACACATTGGTGTGAACATAAAAAAATTCGATATAAGAGTAGGCAATAGCGGTGTCCGTCTTCATTAGCCCAGTCGGAGCAGAACAAGAGGACGTTAACCCCATATCATTTCATTTCATTTCGATACAATAATGGTACAGCCTACTCTTATGTCTATGGAAAGAGATACGTTGAAGATGTTGGTAATAATCTGTAGCTTCTCAACAAACATATGATGGATTCGCATCTGCCAACGAAGTAGACCTACATTTATAATGTAAATATGATCTATTTATTTTACTGACGATGTGTAGACTATCTGTTAACAACCATGCTATTATATTGACATGTATAACTTGATCACCTGTTACCAGTTGTTGAAGAAATACAGACACAGATGGACTGCACACCATTAAAACAAAATAGGCATCAAGGGTTCGTTGCCAAGACCGCCATGCTGTAAGTCCGGATCATTGAAGTATGTTTTCATAGTAAAGAACACGGCAATGCGAAGTTCAAGATTAGTGTTGCTAAGGTTTGTATGGCGACAGGTTTCGAACCTGTGCTGTGGATCGTCCAAGTTATAAAAGGTTATGTTCCGCTTTTTCGTAGCGCGACAAAAAATAAGAATGTTCGTTTGACAGCGGGGTCGTTGCCCCGGTCGCATCGAAGATTTTCATATCTGCAAGGACACACTGCATACTTATTCAAGAAAGATATTGACTAACACCAAACAAACACCATATTATTGCTTTTGGCGAGAAAACATACTGTAATAGACTGTTTGCTAACAGAAACATAACCTTGTGTACATAAATATAAACTAAGTGTACACATGTTGCTAACTTAAGAGTAATTTAAGTCGATATCGGTCAATTGTACTTTGTACTGTCTGTCAGATGCAGTAGTTCCAATCCTTACAAAATTTGAAACCATATCATTAACTCTAGAATTTATACATGTTGTCTGTCCGATATTTCGGGCTCTACGCTAGTCGAATGGTCAGGTCGCTGAACTTTTGACCAGAATGTCGCTTGTACGGATGCCTGTGATCTTACTCATCAGTTATAACGCTGACAACATTGTCAATCGTTGAGATAGGGTAGAAAATCCGAAATCCCCCGTTGATAACACACATTGGCGTAAACGTTAAAGAAACTTAACAGGCGATAGTCGATTAAAATTTAATAGAAACATTGAGATTATACATTGTTTTCTAATTAAACCATTATATAATTCATGATTATAATTTTAAACCATATATTTATATTTCTATAAATAACGTCTTACCGGAGATGATGTTATAGTCCCGGTTTGTTTTCAGGTCGTATAATTATATGTGTTATATTTATATAATATAAATATCTATTAAATAAATAGTGTTAAAGAAAAAACCTATAGGTAACCAATTCCATTAAATTCCGTCTTCTTTGAAAACACTGAGTCTTGTCCATTTGATCTAACCCAAGTTTCTTTTAATCTGTGGTTAATACATTTTCTGTATTATAATCTGGAGGATCCATACGGATATTACTGACATTTTTTTAAAAATAATCTTCAAGATGCTTCTTAAAAATGACAACAGTAATCAGTTTTTGTCAAGGCAGATACAAAGATACGATAACGAATTGCTGTTCATATGGCCATCAATGTCATCATTGTCACCATATACGATGCATGGTAACATGAAACAGTTTAAATTAATTGTGTATAAAGTATGGCCTATGTAGATAAATGTATGTATGAGTACTTACTATAAGATATTAATTACTAGAGCTTTTATGTACGTACTATAATTAGCAAACATTCTTGCCTTTTGTAATATGTTTATTTGCGTAGTTTAGATGATTGCATTCGCAGGTACAACCTTGAACTGTTTAGTTCTGTCAATTTTTTGAATGACGTGTTCCCTGGATACTGTTATAGATCTCGATTTCCAACACAGTCGGGCAATTCATCTTAAAGTCAACAATTAGAAGATGACTTGGGCAATCAGAGCTCAGAAACGGTTTTGAACATCCGTTAAATATTCAGTAGAGTGGGCTTTTACCGTGCTCGTATTATAAAATTTGTAACAACAGACTCAGATTGTAGTAATCATATATAGCTATCTTTAATTAGTATCAATATAAGATTTATTATTAGGAAATTTCTAGTAATTTCAACATTTGGATACAATTGCTGTGGACCATCAACGAACACAAGAATGTAATTCAAAGCGTGAATTAGATGGCAACAACTCGGCCAATATACGTCAGGGTCCATGAACCGCGGGGCTGTAGATCTTATTCTTCAATATAATGGTCTGGAGACTTTAATCTACCAGCAACTGTTTAATATTACTGGAGATACTAATTAGGTTGGAAGTGATGATGCTTTATAACATTTAATTGATGGTAACTCTAGTAAGTGCCGACTAGACACCTCCCCTGTGTACAATCGTCTTAACATCATGCTTCTTTGAGTCAATTAAAGACAGACATTGCTCCTCGATCAAGTCTTGTAATGGAGTACACGTATTGCTAATCGAATCATGGCAGTCTCTTTAATCATAAAAGTTTCCCGATGAAATATTGGTGATTAAAAGCCTTAATTAAATGTTCATGTATACAAGCATTCCAATCTTACTCATAATAGTCACGTCTTTGATTAACTCTGTCTTGGCTTTTATTTACAACACTAAAACGCCAGTTATTTATAGTTATTTATAAGTAAAGCCAATAATAACGCACACAGAATTGACGATGAGATGACTTATATCCCCAATAAATTCAGTTATTGATAGCAATATCTAATCTAATCTTGTTATCTTAAATCTGCATGGGTAAACATCGTTGTTTACGATTGAGGTAATGTGGATTGGGGACTTTTCTCTCTTTGCTTTATACAGTTAAGATTCTTGAGTGAATACGTTACTACATTTAAATCCAGATATATCATTAATCTGCACGAGGCAAAAGGGAAAAAAAACTAACCAAATGTCTCTAATGCAAGCTCGCCAAGTTGTCATTAATATTACATAAATTGACTGGATATTGACTGACACCCGTCAATCTTAGGGATGGACGGTGTATCTAAAATTGCTCGAAGATAAAACTGTTATGAATTTTATGTGTAGGGTAAAGATGTATATGATGCTAATACGACTACAATCACCGGAAGGGGTTTATGGTAATTTTCTACGATAATACCTTGACTGAATATAAAGACAACTTGTTCTTAACGTTAAAAGAAAACACCAGACACAGACATGCATACAAATTGAAGGAAATGAAATGGGGTTTAATGTCTTGCTGTTCAGCATCAACTGGGCAATTGAAGACGAGCATACGCCAGACAGTGTGCTATGAGGGAAATGTCATTGTCCCTTGCCAGTCCACCCGTTCTGTGTCACTGACAAGGGAAGACTACGCTTGAGAATCTAGAGGAACTGTAATCGAACCCTGGGTCACCTTTTCAGTAAGTCAGTGCCTTACCCGTTGTTGAAGGCCTTTTCTATCACTTAGCTAAAACATTACCTCAAAATAAATATGATTTGTTTTCCTCCGAATGCTATGTCATCGACTTAACGAAGTCGACATACGAGGGCTCAGCTAAACATTATTCAGCTGCTGAGATATTCCTTTGAATGTTGAGGGTTTTTGTTTTCTATTTCGCATTACCAGTATTGAAACAGTGATTTCTATTTACAGGTATAATTAACTTTTGGAATATATTTACCATCAGCTGATACTTTTCTCTTCCGAACTAGATCTGTTTTATTGGCTACAAGTAAAATCGCCCGGTCTGTTCCAAGTTCCACCCTGAGATATTTGGTGATATTTGTGGCAGTATCAAACGATGCTTTATCTGTTATGGAGAAGACAACAACATAGGCGTCTAGCTGTAACTCTTCAATGCTAATCTGAAAAAGAGAGAAGATGGGGTTTAAACGTTCCCTCAACGCTAACTTGGTTTGGTAGGTACCCCTACCCTTTGTCATATAATAATTGACCTTGTGACCACATGCTTAACCAAATCTGAAAAATAACAAAATTTTAACGTCAACACGGCTATTGAACGACGAGGAAAATTTGGCCCAAGATGTATACTACATTAAGGGTCACACTATAGAAGAGGGGATATTTGGAGACCCATGTTTATGTTAATTCCCATATCCATATTGGAGCTTATATACCATTATAGATCCGTTCCCACAAAAGTAGCCTATTAATCGGGTGGTTATTTCCAATAAAAGCATCGCAATTTTGGTATATATGGAAATTATAGATACCCAATCTTACTAGAAAAATATTGGATTTCTTGAGAACACTACCACTAATTGACAGCTCGGCGATTAAGAGATGTCTGCCTGAGTGCACACGTAGATTATTTGACCCGTTGAGTTAGGGAGTGCTTAATGTATATGTTGATAAACTTGATAGTGAGCGGGCGTGGAAAAATTGAGAGACTTAAACATACAACAGTTTCTGGGATAAAAAAAGCGGGAAAAGACGTGGGCATATCCGAGAATTTACTTAGGTTTCGATATTTATGGTAAAAGGACAGCGATTAAAGACAACATCGTCTTTTATATGCAATGAATACTTCTCCAGCTTGGCCTCTGTTGCTAGTTACAGAGACAGCCAAGTCACGTGACTTCTTTCAATACTGTAGTATTTTATAGTTTGCGGTACTTCCTCGCGATTACAGTGTTTTGAGAGGGATTTGAAGCAAATCTTTTATAGATTAATTAGTTTGAAAATTATTTTAGTCCAAATATATCAGGAAATCACCCAATTTGTACATGCCAAGGTATTTTTAAGCGTTTACACCAATATTTGCTACATTAATTGTGTGCTGTAAATCATGTTTTCATTTATTTATTCACGATTATAAAGAAACTATACAATCCACGTTGGTAATTTAACCCGATCACAGAATATGTTACTGACTATAGTATGTATATATCATAGTCTATTAGGGCTATTACTTTCATATGATACCAGTATTATGTATACGGATTTGGTTTATCTAGACTCCGTCTACAAATCCGTCTACAAATTCTAATGACATTAAAAATGTTGCCAACAAAATGTGAAGGTGAAAGTATGACATCAAAGGCTCGAATATTCTTTGATCATTGTTAAAAGTAATAATATTGTTGATGTAGAATTCTTCAGGAAGAAGGCACATGGTTGTATGCCAGACAAACTCTTGAAAATGCTTGTATCTGAGACAACAATACCATCCTCTTGTTTCAGCAATGCACCTTCAATCACTCATTTTATTACAGATATTTCAAGTGTGAGATTGCACAGCGATATTTTGACAAGATTAGCCACAATGTTCGTCTTTTATTGTCTATTTGAAAAACAAATCCTTAAACACAGTTTACATTTACATCTCACGAGCATGTTACTTTACTCCTACCCCCATGATGGGTCAAGGTAAATTTCATTTGTGTGAAGACAGAACTTCCCAATTTGTCTTTTCTTACAAATATATAAAATTACAAGGATGACATTTCAGTTTAATGAAATAACTATATAAGATGCACTGCAAGGTCACTTAATGTTGATTTTCACCTGTACATGGACTGCTTGATCAATTAATATACATATATATATATATATATACGAATGAAGGTAAAAGAAATAGAAAGAAAAAAACCCTATAGTTTTCCCATAATTGGAGCCATTTGTAGGAGAAAAAAGTCTGCAATGTTCACTTGGAGGGAAAACTATGAAGTCCGTAAAACATATACAAATTTGGTTTCAAGTTATCTATGGCATTATGGGAAACGTAATAATAATACAAATATTTTCTAATGCGAAGTTGTCTTTAATACGGGAGGTAAACGAAAAAAAAACAAACAAAAAAACGCACGAAGTTAGACACGCGACCACACTCTTTGTTACGCAGAAACGTAGTAGACAAAGACCACTCTACACCTGCGCCATTCACACAATGTCTGCGGTTCTAAGAAGATTGTATCCGAATACGATCCTTCTGCGGAGTATCCCACCTCCACGTTTTACCATAGGAAATGTAAATCATAATATTTTAGTTGCCATACAACCGAATATTGTTTCAAAACTTTTTTGTATCCTGAACAGAGAATATATTTTTTCAGGTAATCGATATACTTACGTTTTTATCTGGTGGATCTATGAATTCAAGTGTCGATTCTTCACCATTTAACAATACAGATACTGTCATTACTCCACTATCTACAAAATACAACATTTTAAACCTCAAGCTTATATATTTACAAAATGCTTATTAAACATACATTATGCAAGAGCTAAATCTGTCTATTGCAGGTCTTTCTTTAGGCCTGAAATGCTATCTAAATTTTTAATTAGACATTAATTAACCTATCTAGACCATAATCAACTCTAGATGGCATCGGTAGCCTGCGATCTTTAGTGGATTATGAGCCGATGTACTGCATAACTTTCCTTCACGATTTAACGATTAAATGGGTAATCGAGACTATGTTGTTTATCGTACTGACTTTAGTAATGATGATCGAGGCTAGGCGGAAATTTCAATCGCTTAGTTCTCGGTTCATAGTGGGTCAATTTGAATGAAATTTTCAGCAAATTGCCTTTACATTATCTTGTTTTTAACTATTATAGTGAGAACCGCCAACTCGTTATCGAATCTCCCATAATGTATCTTTAACTATAATTCTTCCAGAATTGAAAACCCCGAGTAAATAATAAATATCCATCTGCCGTAATGGAAATGGAATGGGGAATTCACAATAATTTGGATTTTATAGAAGATGCAACTATTTTACACTAGGCTCGATCTTTGAGATAGATATCGTACAGTATGATTAAATTTCAGATGATTTTACTTTAGTTTTCATACAGCAGGCAATCGAATTTTTAAAATCGTGTCCTTATATGTATTATTCTGATCTATTCGGTACAACCTTTCTGAGAAATAATGACGTCATAAGGTATTTAACGGCATATTTAAAAACTCGTCTATTAATGTTTTCGTTCAGGATTAGTTATGGTTTACCACATACAGCAATTAAAAGTGACTTCAAAATACAAAAAAAAACCCAACCTTCTCGCCTGCATTTGCCACGTGGTACAGATATACGTCAGAGTTACAATGTTTTAGAGAAATTATTCATGGCGAATCAGATTCCGAGAAATTGTCACATGCTCGAAAATCCTATTTCTAATTGGCGTATAGGTACGAACTTTTGATGGATGGTGCGCGGCAGGAATTTGATTCTGAACAAGCAAAAATGTAAATTTGGCACAAAAAAAAACAAAAAAAAACCCCAACAGAAAAAGAACACGAGATATCTCTTTCAGTTTGACCATATTGTTTTCTAATGTAAACAGGTCATATTACATAACACGGCATGGTCCTTATGTCGTTAAATAATGAAATGTGGGCCTAACATAAAACAATTAATTTAAATGTAACATAAAGCAAAGTAATTAAGTTCCTCGTTTCTATTAATACGCCCATCACATTCGCCTTACTAAATCACTTGGCCTTAAAGGACAATATTGGTGCCAGTCATTATCACAAATGTGATAGAACTGGTTAAACACGTTCCAAATATTATTTTATCACAGAGATCATTGCTACGATAGATGAGTAATCAATGTTTCAACAATCGGAAGTGACGAACGCAAAAGGAAAACACGAGTTATCCCTCTATATAACTGACTGAAGTGACGGGTGAAAACAGGTACATGGTCGAATGTCTGCTCACTAATAATTCCCTCGAAGACCAAAAGTTGTTGTATGAGACTATGAAAGGATATCTGACAATTCATAAACAAAATTGACTGTCACTAGATAAGAGAACATGAAAGAAAAATAGAAAAAGTCCGTGCATTACCATGTTTTTATAAGTATAGAATGAATAAACACCCGTGAATGTACGGAAATGAAATGAAATGAAATGGGGTTTAACGTCCTACTGTTCTGCTCCTGTACTGGGCTAATGAAGACGGGCATACGCCATACAGTGTGCTATGAGTGAAATTTTGCCCGGGCAGCGGTACTATCGCCTACTCTTATATCGAATTCCATCTGCCAAGGGATCTTTTACGTGCATTCTAATGTATACACGGGACCTCGGTTTTTCGTCTCATCCGAAGGACTAGACAGCTGTCCTTGTCAGGCCCTCCGTTCTGCACCACTGACAAGGGGAAACCACGTCGGAAAAGTGAATGTACGGACTGTTTCTATTTTTCTCATGTTCTCTTATCTAATGACATTCAATAACTTTTTTGAATTGTCAGATATACTCTTACAGTCTCGTATAACACTTTTGGGTCTTCGAAGGAATTTTTAGTGAACAGAAATTCGCCCATTTATCTGTTATCACCCGTCACTTCAGTCAGTTATATGGAGGGATAACTCGTGTTTCCTTTTGCGTTCGTCACTTCCGATTGTTGAAACATTTATTACTCATCTATAGTAGCAATGGTCTCTGTGATAAAATAATATTTGGAACGTGTTTAACCAGTTCTGGCACCAATATTGTCCTTTAAATAAATTTAACCGACTATCAGCCTGGCGAAGGGAGTCGCGAGAAAATATGTGAAAAATAGTACGCCTGAATCAAACCTATCTACAGAAAGCAATCAGCCGGACATGAAACATATGGTAGTGTTATATTAAGAACGGCCGCCAAAATAAAGTTCAAAATGGCGAATTTTTAATTATTCGTCATTTCCTTCCGTTGGATATGTCTTGTATAATATTGAGGTAACTGGATTGAATTCAAACTCCGAATAGCCCAGATGGTATAAACTGAAAACGGCAATCATAGTGGAATCCATAATGGCAATTTTTTTTCCATATGGATATTGCTTTTAAAATATATCGAATAGTCCTCAGGTTTTCATGGTTACAGAATTCTAATTTGGTTTTAAAAATAAATATAAGATATCCAAACATCTGTTGAGCATTCTTTTTTTAGTGTATTGTTTTTAATTTGGTATGTCTTTGCACCATCGTCACCGGCGGTGAAAGTGGTTTCGATATATCTAGTTGTTAAGAATTTGCCTACTAATATTAGTTCAGAAATGGTTATGCGATCCATGTTTACAGCCCTTGCTGCATAAATTCCAGGAATGAAGTGAAAAGGCGTAAACTAATGTTCTTCCGTAGTTTGGATCCTCCTAAAGTCATGCATTCACGTTTTTTATAAGTTAAGATTGCCGCACTAACTAGAAACACTGGAATACACACTAGAAAGCACCATTTACAGCCATAGGGTGGGAAGCCCTCGTGGAGCAAGAAGTATCGGGGCCTCTAGTCTGTCCCTGGTATTATAATAGACCGATAGTAACCAAATGAAAATACACATTTAAACAAAATTTAAGTATGGCCTACCACCTATGTCACATTCCCATCGAACTAAAAATAAATTGTTTATTGGTATTTTCGACGAAACGGAAACGTCTGTTTCGCTTAGGAATTAACCGAGAAGGGAGTTATTCTCTCATGGCTCATGATGGGTCTCGCAGTGTTTCGTTTGATTAGATCTTATCCCACTCAAGCACTGACATGCTGCAAATTTCTTTCTCAAATTATGGTTTTACGGTAGATGGTTCAACAGTCCGATCAATAACCAATACAATTCTACGTCACAAAATCAATCGGGATTAACCAGCTCTAAATATGTTACCATACAAAGTGACAATCGCGACTACATTACGTCATAACGCGCGAAATGTATTACGCTCAATTAACTACTGCATAACAGAATATTGCAGAGAAACTAATTGTTTGATAAACGAGGCTATCCAAAATAGCTAAAATGTAAACATTGGCTAATCATCGCGCACGTGGAATCTTTTTATCATCTCTTGTCTTGAAGCACACAGCACACGGACATTATTTTCACCATCTTTTAATTAGGGTGTCCCGTGCAGCGAACATTTTCCCTAAAGAAAGTTTAACTCGACACCGCGAATGGCTTGTATTGAAGTGATTTCTGGCTAAAATAATACTCAGCGCTAGAGTCTGAGTCTATAAATAGCCATCGCACGTGCAATTCTCTACAAATCTATCAATTATTACAGCCGTAAAAAATATATTATTGACCATTCTGAATAGCAGTAATATTTAGCTTTTTGGTTATTACAACAGCTTTAGAAATTACATTCGTTTTTGTTTTTTAAATTGCTTTATCATTAACTGTACCGTTAGAAACGGAACGGCATCTTTTGGTTTAGTACAAATAATATCTCTGAAACACCCGGGTTAAGCAAGAACATGATACTAGCAGTAATTTAATTTTACTTTTACAAGGTTCTTAAAACAATTGTTGAGTTGCCTAACGTTTACGTGTTTCTAAATTCAATTTTTTGTTCCAGCTTTGTTATGTTTCGTAAAAAGGTAGAATGGTCGGTAGACTGGTTAAGCGAGGTAAATTTCAAAACTAGGGCACGTAACCTATTTTTTACTAAAAAACTTGTTAAGCGAGACTAATTTCAAAACAAGGGCACGTAACCTATTTTTTACTCACAAGTGCCCGGATGTTATGACGACACTCGTAACCATTTTTCAGTCTATTATTTATGGATGGTTATGGTCATAGCTTATTAAGTACAACACGAACGTTTATTTACTGACTATAAATGTGCGAAACTGATTTAAGGCTTGGTATATATATAAATATTGTGTTGTAATTGTCGAGATATTTGGAGATATTTATTTATGGTGGGACACCCTACTTTTAATACATTTAATCAACTGTCCGAAGAAACCATATTAAAGAGAAGGGCTGCCATGTTACGTATTGTGTTTTATAAAATAAATAATTTATGGATTTTCTTTTTAAAAATGGATAAATATTAATCGAATACTTAAAGGCAGGCAGTAATAATTGATACAAACAGACACGTTTATAGAATATATATCGGAGATTTGAGTCAAAAGAATTTTCGTTCCAATAGTGAGTTTCAGCGACGGCCAAATCTACCGATGCGAGTATGAATGTTTGCTCCCAACGCATCCAAGGCCAGAGTAAAAAAATTCTTGAAATCAGTTTTTTTTTAAAGAGGTCACTCCCGTTAAGCGACAGTCATGAGAGTTCGCTTTATTTTACTGGTCTCAAGAGAGATTTGATTGGCCAGAGTAAAAACATTCTTGAAATCAGTTTTTTTTAAAGAGGTCACTCCCATTAAGCGACAGTCATGAGAGTTCGCTTTATTTTACTGGTCTCAAGAGAGAT